CTAAACCCTAGCCTCACACTAACCCTGACCTTAATTGCACGGTTTTATTCTTATAAAAAAGTTGTTTTGATAGTCACGTTACACCTGATCTTAGTTACCGGTTACAGTAACCTACGGTTACAAAATGATATTAATTCTTATTACTTTTATTATTTGTTATTATTTTGGTTACCGTTATTTTTAACCTTTGACACAAAAAATTTAAATAATTCTGTATATATCTTTACTCACTATTACCTTCAAATAAATAGAGTCCATGATCTCTATAATTTCTTCGAAAGTTATTCTAACCAATGTACCGCTAATTAATTCCTTAAAAACTCATTATCTTCTTCATAAAGTGAATTATGAAATTTTAAAACGCTTTCATTAATAATTTGTTTAATACAATTTTCATTAGCAGTAGTAAATAAAGTTCCAGGGTAAACTTTACTACCCCATTTTGGATGTAGTAAAATATGACAACACCCAGCATTATAAATATCATATTTTAAAAGTTGTTCGGCACCTTGAACGTCTGGATAGGTCGATGGACCAGGATCGGAAAACATCTGATTTATTAATTAATAATTTGGTTAGAAAAATCATAGAAAAATCATAGAAAAATCAAAGATTCACTCCAAGCCAATCTTGAGAGTAAAAAAAAAAAAAAAAGGAGGGGAGATTTATCGAAGGAAAAATAAATTACGTATGTATGATCTTTATGGTACTTACTGGATATCCTGAAGCAGGATCAGTGAGATCAGACCAATACCCAAGATCCCTTAATTTTTGACAAATTTCCTTACCCCATTCAATAAACTAAAGAAATAAATCAAAGTTTTAATTATTAAAAAACGACATCTATAAAATGTGCATTTGTAACCGATATTTAAATATTTACATCTTCCAATTTTTCATCTTTTTCTTTATCGATTCTTTCACCAATTCCAACTAAATCATTTCGACATTTAAAGAACACTGGTATTACGAGACATTTATCAGGTTCAACGATATGTGGAAATACATTTATCAATTCTCTATTAAATTTATTCGATCCAGCATGAATAGAATATTCGAGAAAAATTGGACGAAGAGTTTTAGGATTTCTGACTGTTACTAGTGTTGGAGCCGCTAACGTTCGGGAACACGTTTTGGTCCGTTTTTTTGTTGGTGTAGAAGATTTGATAACGGTAGAATCATTATGGATTGATAAATTCAAAGATTTTTGACTTAAGGATCCCATTATCGTTATTTATCAATATTTTTTATATGTTCCCCTATTTATACGTATATATTTTTTTTTCTGTGACTTAAATAGCATTTTGCACTACATACGGCTATCGGTTTAAAACTAAATCCGGCTATCTCCAGTTAATATAGATCAACATTATCGTATAGCGATAGATGTTAGGTCCAATGTTACCGTTACAGTTGCACAGTATTAGTACGTCGAAAACAAAATTTTCATCAATTCTAAATCGATTTAACGGTAAGTTGCAACAGAATTTTGAATAAGTTTGAGTAATAAGAGAATTCAATTTTCTGCTTAATATATATTGATTTATATAAAACTCGGTTTATTAATAAAAATATCTTTATTATACTATATACTGTATTATTATTAATTTTTTATTTTATTGTTTTTAAATCTAACCTGAATACCGTTCATGAAATCTTAGAAATCGATATGTATATATTTTAACTGATTATAAGTTGGTTGTTCTTGAAATTACATAAAACGCGATTGTAATTCTGTAAGGTCTAACCAATTTCCAGAATTAGAGATTGTAATTCTGTAAAGGTCTAACCAATTTCCAGAATTAGAATTAGAATTTATGAGTGCGTAACGGTAAGAGTAACCATTCATAGTAAATCATTAAATCTATTTCCAGGTTTTCACACTCACTCTTACGTATCATAAAATTACAAATGTTATAAAAAGCATAAATAAGCACAGTCGTTATCACACATATTTAGTATATATTGTAGTCGCATCAATGAATGTAAATGCATTATGATAATAGATAAAATTTAAGAGTTTTCTCTGATATGTGCTATGATACATTTTACGAAGTTTCGTGTTGTAGAAATCTTTATGAAATTTTTATAGAAACTAGTAATATAAATTTAATTGATTACTAAAAGAATTAACCAAGGCGGCCCCAAAGTGCTGGTGAAGTAAATCATTTCCACCAATTAGATAATATATACATACTATATTATTAAGTGATTGTCTATATTATCCCTTACACCGTCTCGCAGGCAAATTTGCCTGCGAATTTTTGTACAACATTGAGAGTTTAAATTCCGACGTTGGGCTTAGATATATATGATTATTATTTTCGTAACTATTTATTGGGTAATGATGTTTTTTTTTGATATGTAATAATTATTTATTATGTTTTATTTATTGTTTTTAATTTTATCTTTTAAGCCACGTCGGACTTTATATTTACTGCGGATTAGCCTGACGGTGTAAGAGATAAAATATCGATATGTATTATCTAATTGGTAGAAATGATTTACTTCACCAGCACTTTGAGGGGGCCGCCCTGGCTAATTCCTGCTAAAATGCATCATAGGTACTACACACCATAGTTACCAATTAAAATCAGTAATTGGTATTCTAAGCAAAAGTACTTAGCGTCTCCAAAAATTCTTGTCCAGTTCTCATTTAGTCTAATCACTGATTTTAACTCTAAATTTTACCAATCAAATTTTTGTAATACAAAAAACATATTGTGTTGAACATCATAGGTGTATTTTATGACGATTGCTAATCATAATAATTTATAATTTAAAATTATTATTAAATAGGTTTGGAATTAACTTTAGAATGAAAATTTCTTATTTACTGTATCTAAACACTTTTTCTTTGCAAATTTTATAAATTCGCAGATCATTAAAAAAAAAGAAATTCAATTGTTAGACGATTTCTGATTTCAAATTCTTTATGTAATTACGTATGAAGTTATTAATACGTATCATATAAAGATCAACCAACCTACTTGTGCATTATGTATGTCTACGTATTAATACATATTTATCAAAGTCTTATATAACATATTAAGCTTAATCTATATATAGCAAAATCTGAATTAAAAAATCAATCAACTTCTTTTTTTAATGATCTGCAAAATTCAAACTTTTGCATTATAGATCAATTATAGATCGTTAAGAGGAAATTGTCGTGGTAAATCGCAAATATAATTACTTAATAGTTACTTAATAGTTTCTTACTAGGACTATATTATATAACACAATAATATTAACAATTTACCAATTTATACTAGATCTAGAATAATATTAATAATTTACCAATTTATACTAGATCTATATAGAATAATATTAATAATTTACCAATTTATACTAGATCTAGAATAATATTAATAATTTACCAATTTATACTAGATCTAGAATAATATTAAATAATTTACCAATTTATACTAGATCTAGAATATTATAATGCTATCGCAAAAATGTAAGGTTTTTTTAAAAAGGTAAATACGGTATATCTAGAATTCTT